TTAGTGATAATGTTAAAGACATAATCACTTTGGAATGTAGTTTGGCCCTATGAAGAGAGCCCAAATGTCTATCAACTGATGAACAGATAAAGAGATATGGTATCTCAGAACCCTGCATCAGACTCTGCGGTCAGCAAGAAGCCCGCTTCGGATCCTCTGTCTCCCTCTTTCCCTCTGCCCTCCCTTATCATATGATGGGGGGAGGTGGAAAGAAGAGAGGAAAACAAACCACAGAGACCCTTAAGGACAGAGAACAAACTGAGGGTTGACGAGGGAGGTGGATGGGGAGATGGGCTAAAAGGGAGATGGGCAAAAGGGCACTTGTTGGGATGAGCATTGGGTGTTATGTGTAAGTGATGAATCACTAAATTCTACTCCTGAAACCAAGACTATGCTATATGTTAACTAACTTATATTTAATTTTAAAAACATAGTTTGGCAAGGGTGCCTGGGTGGTTCAGTCAGTTGAGCATTGACTCTGGACTTTGGCTCAGGTCATGATCCCAGGGTCAGAGAATCAAGCTCTGAGTTGGGCTCCGCACAGAGAGTAGACCCTCCTGAAGATTCTCTCTCTCCCTCTCTCTCTCTCTCTCTCTCCCTTTCTCTCTCTCCCTCCCTCTCTCTCTCTATCTCTCCCTCACCCTCTGCTCCCCTCCCCTATTCACACTCTCTCCCTCTTAAAAAACAAATAAATAAATTTTTTAAAAGTTTGGCAGCTTCTTCAAAAGTTTAGAAATAATTCATTTGTTCTGCTTATTTCACACCTCGTTATTTACCCAAAAGAAATATTCACAGCATATTTATTTGTAATAGCCCCAAAAAAGAAACAACCCAAATATTCATACACAATTGAATGGAAAAATGAACTGTGGTAAATCCATACAATAGAACATTACTCAGCAATAAAAAAAATAAATTATTAACATACAAAAAAGTGGACGATTCTCCAACTAATTATGCTGAGTAAAGAAGACAATCCCCCCAAAAAAGTATAAACTGTATTATTCCATTTATATAAAATTCTAGAAAATAAAAATTAATCTGTAGTGACTGAAAGCTGACCAGTGGTCACCAGGGGGAGTTACAAAGGAACAGGAAGAAACTTTTCAGGATGACAGACATGTTCATTATCTCAACTCAGATACTGGCGTCATAGCATAAACACATGTTAATACACTCTAAATATGTGCTGTAATACGTCAGTTATACCTCCATAAAGCTGTTAAATTTTTCATTGAGGGAAATACTACAATTACAGTGCTTTGGTCAGATAATAATTTGAATACTGTATGTCAAACTTTAAAGCCAGAGTTAGAATCTTTGATAGCAAATGTATTAAATCTATTTATCAGTTTGGGGAGAATTAACATACTTACTCTGTTGATTCTTCCAGTTCATGAATGTAATATGTCTCTCCATTTACCTCGATCTGTGATTTCTTTCATTAGTAGTTTTATAGTTTGGGGCATACAGTTTTATAGATGTTTTGTTAGATTCACACCTAAATGTTTCTTTTCTTTTTTAACTTTTCTTTTCCTTTCTTTTCTTAAAAATTTTTTAATATTTATTTTTGAAAGGGGGCGTAGGGGGGCAGAGAGAGAGAGAGAGGAAGACACAAAATCCGAAGCAGGCTCCAGACTCTAAGGGGTCAGCACAGCACCAGACGTGAGGCTCAAACCCATGAAACTGAGTTTATGACCTGAGCTGAAGTCAGATGCTTAACCAACTAAGCCACCCAAGCATCCCTCCTTTCTTTTTGCTTTTAAGCAATTGTAAATGGTATTATATTTCTAATTTTGGTATCCATATGTTTGTTACTAGCATATAGCATATAGAATTATATGAAACACTACTGAATTCACTTAGTAGAGGTTTTTTTATAAATTCCTTGCAGTTTTCTGTATAGACAATCATGTCATCTGGGAAAATGACCTTTTTAAAATGAATCTAAATTAAAATGAAGTCCAAAACTGCATAGTAAATTCGGGGGGAAGAATGTGACTGGGATTCTACCTTAAAAATAAAATGAAAATAAAGCCAAAATCGGAGCCTGGAGCCTGTTTTGGATTCTGTGTCTCCCTCTCTCTCTCTCTCTGGCCCTCCCCCAACTTGTGCACACTCCCTATTTCAAAAATAAATATTTTTTAAATAAGAAAATAAAACCAAAATTACTGAAGTAAGCTTATTTTCTACTATATTTCACAAGATTTAGCTTGTAATTCCAACTCTGCTAATTCTTAGAATAAAGAAGGAATCAGCATTGGAGCTGGGAGAAAAGGGACAGTCCCCAGTCTTACACACTATTCATTACTTTGAAGTTTTGCAATACAATCATAAAGAATGTCTTTTTTTTTTTTTTTGCAAAAAATATGTAATAGCTTCATCAATATTTTTAAGCACCTTCCTAATCCTTCGATTCTACACTCATTCTTGTGAAACACTTACTGGATCAGCTTCACTGTCTATTTTCAGTTCTTCACTTGTTAACTAGTTCAATGCTGCTGAGCTATACTGATCAACGGCTTTGCAAAATTCAAGCAGATTTCTAATACCACTTCCATCAACTTCACTAAATTCTGCAATTTGGGCAAGTTCTGTCATCTTATTTTGCAGTCAGGTTGTTGCACTAATTATTGCATATTTACAACATCTGATGATCAGCACAAGCATTAGTGAACACTTCCGGTTTTCCTATGCAATGTCATTGCTATGCAGACTCCAATAACAGGGACTCCACTATTGCAAACCTTAAAACATCTATAGCCTTTGACCACAAAGTCTATTTTCTAAATTTCATAATTAAAGATGTGCATAAAAACATGTATGTGTACATACGCTTACTAGGATACTTCAAGGAGCAAAAAATTAGAGCACACTAAATTCCCAACAATAGAAAACAGGGTAAGTTATGGTACATTCACAGAATGGAATGCTAAGTAACTATTAAAAAATCATGATGGAGGGGGGTGGCTCCTGGGTGGCTCAGTCAGTTAAGTGTCCGACTCTTGATTTCTTCTCAGGTCATGATCTCATGGTTCCTGAGTTCAAGCCCCACATCAGGCTCTGCACTGATAGCAAGGAGGTTGCTTGGGATTCTCTCTCTGCCCCTCCCCAGCTCACATGGGTGTGCTCATGACCACAGTCGCGCATGCTCTCTCTCTCTGTCTCAAAATAAATAAATAAACAAAAAAAAAAAAAAACATGATGTGGAAGAAGAGTTAGTGCCATGAGAAATTTTTCATCATCTCTTAAATTCTGAAGGCAGGACGCAGAATCACACCTACAGGCTCATATCCCAGTTGTGACTGTGCTTAAAAATATTGTGTGTGGGTGTGCCTGGGTGGCTCCGTCACATAAGCCTCTGACTCACCGTCTCAGCTCAGGTCTTGACCTCAAGGCGGTGAGTTCAAGCCCCACACTGGGCCCCTGCACTGGGCATGAACCCTACTTTAAAAAAAAAAAAAAAGAGTGTATATGTTTACAAACATGGGGGGGGGAGTGTAAAAAGAATTTAGCCCAAAATTTAGACAAACCAACCCTATGCTAAAATTTTTTTAAAATTTTGCTGTTTATTCATTTTAGAGAGACAGAGACACAGACAGTATCAGCGGGGCAGGGGTCAGGGGGAGGAGGAGGAGGCACAGAATCCAAACAGGCTCCAGGCTCTGAGCCTTCAGCACACAGTCCTGTGTGCTGCTCAAACTCACAATCCTGAGATCACCACCTACGACCAAGTCAGGCCCTTAGCCAACTGAGCCACCCAAGCATCCCAGAAATTTTAGGCGTGATTTAAAATTTCCCTTCGTGGGGTGCCTGGGTGGCTCAGTCGGTTAAGCGTCCGACTTTCGCTTAGGTCATGATCTCGCAGTTCATGGGTTCGAGCCCCGCGTCGGGCTCTGTGCTGACTGCCAGCTCAGAGCCTAGAGCCTATTTCAGAGTCTGTATCTCCCTCTCTCTCTGACCCTCCCCTGCTCACGCTGTGTGTCTCTCTCTCTCCTAGAAATAAATAAAAACATAAAAAAATAAAATAAAATTTCCCTTCGATGTTTTGTTTTGGGTTTTTTTGGTTTTTTTCCCCCCAGTCTTTCTAGAATGAAAGACGCTGGTTGGGGATTTTTTTTTTTTTTAAGGCTCACATTTTTAAAATAAATAAATAAATAAATAAATAAATACATAAGACCTGCCCCTTAAGGAGATTTCCTACCCAGGTCTCAGCAGAGACGGGCCTACAACGGCCACCCGCAAGGTGACAAGGTGACGGGGAGAGGGTCATTTGATGGATGAGCCCATTAGCACAGCTGCTCCAAGCTGCTCGCTTTCGTCCAAGCCTTCGGGCGGGATTAACAGTCCGGGGCTAACGCGGCAGCTGTCAGGGAGCAGGGTGGGTCACATGTCACACCATACCAGCGTCCCCGGCCACCAAGAGGCGGCTTCCGGAGCCCACAAGGAAAAACAGAGCGGTGACCAAGGAGAAAAACAGTCCCTTCGGGGAGAGCGCCCAAAACAGGCTCGCGGGGGCCCGACCTTCTCGGGGGGCGGCGGCCTGACCTTCACGTGGGCGGGCTGGGCTCTCGGCTCCGCCCAGAAACCCGGGTTCGCGGCTCGCTCCTGGGGAAACGGAGCCCCTCAATTCAAAGGTTCAAAGGACAAGGGCTCCAATGCTGACCCGTCGTCGTGTGAGGCGCGCGGACGCGAAAGGTGGGGCCTTCGGGGCAACAGAATCCTCCTCTTTTCCGGGATTCGGGAAAACAATGCCGTTGAACCCCACAGCGCGGAACGCAAGGAGGTGGCGTGACGTACACATCACAGGTATATTCCATTTAACCGCAAGCCCTGTGCAGTTTGGGGGACTCTGGAATTTTCCAGAAATGTTCTTCCCGCCCTGCCTTCCAGTTCACTCCCCAGGCCCGGTTTCACGCCCTCGCCGCCACACGGCCTCACGCGGTTATTCTCTGTCATCCGCGGCGCGACTCCCTCACAAACCCCACAGGCACACTCACCGGCATCTCCCGGCCGTCGCCTCCGCCAAGTCCGAACAATGGCGGCGGGCCACTTCCGGCCTTTCCTTCCCTCCACCGGGCTCCTCCCATGATGCCCTGGGGCGCACCGGAAGTGACCCCTCCCTCTCCGGGAAATTGAAACTCTTTCCAGGAGTCTCAAGGTGCGTCCCTCGAAGCCCAGGACGGGTGAGCTTTCCCGCGTTTTCAGAGCTGGGACCCGCTTCCCCGTCTCCAACTAGAGTATAAACAGAACCAGCTTTTGATTCTCAATGCCTGGAACAGTGTCCTCATGAGCCACATTCTTTCCGTTGGACAGAATGAAGCAGAGCTGCTGCTAGGGCTGACACTCAGCACGCAATAAAAAAGAATAAAGCTGCCATTATAGTAGCAGCTGACATTTAAAACCCCCAAGTCCTTACCTTAGCTTGCAAGGCTCTAAACCATCTGGCCCCTGGCCACCTGTGCCACTTCATTCCCTGCTACTGCTTCCCTGGCTCCCTTCGCCCCTGCCCTACTGGCCTTTTTTCCATTCTTGTGCAGACACACTCACCTCCCAGAGCCTTCTCCTGGCTTGCTCCTTCACTAGGTGTCTGTTCGAAGGTCACCTCTTCAGAGAAACTTTCCCTGATCTGTCCATTTAGACTCCACACAGTCACGATTTCCTGATCTTGCTTACCCTTTCCTTCAGAGCATTTATCACGAATTGATACCAGATAATGTTTGTTTATTGTCTATCCCCAGAAAACAATGCATACACACTCAAATAGGATTTCCAGGAAGGCAGAGACTTTGCCTTTTTTTTTTTTTTTTAATGTGTTGTGGGTTTTGGGGGGGAGCTTTTTGTTGTTGGGTTTTTGGGGTTTTTTGGGGGGTTTTTTTGTTGTTTTTTTTTTTTGAGAGAGAGAACAAGCAGGGGAGGGTCAGAGAGGGAGACACAGGATCGGAAGCAGGCTCCAGGCTCAGAGCTGTCAGCACAGAGGCTGATGTGGGGCTTGAACTCCTGAACTGTGAGATCATGACCTGAGCCAAAGTTGGACACTTAAGCGACTAAGCCACTCAGGCACCCTGAGACTTCGCCTATTTTGTTCCCCAGCGCTTAAAATCCGGTGCATAGTAGAAGCTGAACGAATGTTTGTTGAATAAATGATTAAATGAGTACATGCTGGTTCTGCGCACAACAGCCTCAAAATTAGCATTTCCAGGTATGAATTCCATCACCATCCTGCCTTGGTGGGAGATCGGAAGCTGGTTCCAGGTAACCGCATCTTAGCCAGGTTTGAGGGCCTTGCCATCATTACCCCAACAACCTTTCAGGTATGGTGATGAACTTATCCGGATTTACCCAGGATTGCACTGACCTTAAAACTGAAAGTCTCAGGAACCTCTTCAATCCCACACAAACTAGGATCGTTGGTCGTGCTGCTTTCCACTATCCAGGCTCCATCTTGCATGTTTTGTCTTATTGTTGTGTGTACGAGTGTGTGGTTGGGGGAGGAGGGGTGCCCTTGACTTAGGACTGTTCTGAGCCATCTGAGCAGGAAATTGGCTAAACCCAGCGGATAGGATGGGAGGACTGGACGGACAATGGTCAGGGTGTGGTCAGCTGGTGAGCTTCACCAAACAGCAACACAAGAGACAGGATATAACAAAGAAGGCATTGTCCCGGCTTCTAGAGCCCTCTGGCACTGACAGAAAGCTCTAAAGAAAGTTCCTGGTTTCTAACGGCCGCACCTACTCTTCCCTTTCCCAAACTATTGAATCACTTCCAAAAAATACCCTGCCATGCATTCATTAATTCAACCATCACAAGAACCCCATGAGTTAGGTTTTTTTATTATCCCCATTTTGCAGATGAAGAAACAGGCTCAGAAAAGTTAAATAACTTGCCCCAAATTCACAGTTTAATTGATGAATTCAGGATCTGAACGTCAGCATGCTGACTCTCAAGGTCCACTCTTAATTGCTACATTGCATGTAGATTTTAACAGCATAAATATACATTTTGACTATGTCTGGCAAAGAATACACATATTTTAGGATTCATCATTGAAGATCCCAACAGTAGTAATTAAAAGTAATTGGTCATGCTGTTCCTAGTTCTAATGAGGCTCTAAACAGCCAAAGTAACCAAAACATAGCTAACAAACAAAAATGACAAGCAAATAACAGGAGACCGTACTGGGGGCAGGGCATCAGTCCCGATTATGAGACCGGGCAGCTTACGGAGCAGACCTGGCCAGGAGGATTTCTTCTTTGAACACAGTGTTCCCAGACCATCCACACAATCTCTCCATGTTGTTTCAGAGAAAGATGCCTGGTCTGTGTGTAATTCTGAGACGCGTGTGTAATTCTGAGAGCATTAGTGTCTTACAGGATCGTCCAAAGCCAAAAGCAGCTGTCTTAAGGGAAAAGACAAACCAGGCTTGGAGTCAAAGATGTTTGCCACTTCCTGGCTGTGTGACTAGCCGCTTAACCTTGCCAGGCCTCAGTTTTCCCACATGTAAAACTGATTGATCTATCTCCTCATTGAAATTTAAGGAGAATCTATCTAAATGATTCTTTTGATAATGCCCTATGTTGCTGTGTGCTTTGCAAAATTCCTTCATGTAAATGCCAGCAGTGAAGAAGGGGATATGTTGCATTTGAACCAAGTTCTGAATTAGGTCTCTTGGGGTTGGAAATAGAACAGGAAGCGGATTTGTTTCCACCTGTAGCATTCATTAAGTAATTTGTCTGGAACCTCAGTTTCTAGTTTTGTAAGGTCGGGGTTAGATTAGATAATATTCCAGCCGCCCCCGCCCCGGTTCTGGAATCTAATATTCTCACCCAAATCTTTGATTAGGCAATTCACATATGAATTAGCATCATTCGGTCATGTACCTGCCCTGTGACTTTCACCCAGAAATTTCTGTCCCTAGCTAGGGAACTTCCTGCTGCTTGCCGAAATTTCAGCTATTACATAAGCTCCTACATGGCTGTGAGGCGTAAGGTATGATCTGCTACCAGCACAATTAATTGCCCTTTCTTCTCAAGTAGCCCTCTGAGGAGTGACCTTGGTCACACTTATTTCCTAGTCCTCACTATTTGGCCCTGCTACTGCTCTCTCTTTCTTGCACCTTCCAAATCTACGTTTCCTCTGAAGGCATCTTGCATAGTGATTGGTGGAGAGATTTGCTCCTAGGAAAATCAGGAAACCTTTTCCCTCCTCCTTAACACCTGCTCACTCCCTAATCCCTTGCCTTCAAAGTTTCCACCCCCACCATCCTGCTGACATGAATGTCAAGATCACCTCCCTCACCAATGCAATGCCTTTTTCGGGTCTTCTTTTCTCTGGCTTCTCTGTAGTGGTCTCCATTAGATCCTCTCTCTTGAAAGTATCACCACCCTTGACTTGTTTTGACACTAATAATAAAGCTCCCTTCGCTTTCAAGTTCACAAAGCAATTTTGTCACAAGAACGGAGAAAACCCTTGTTCACGGATCTCCTCTCAGGTCTGGAAGAGATGAGATCACAATGTGGTCGTGTGAGCTATAGACTGTGCTGGGGGGTTAGCAGTGGAATAAAGATGAGACCCCCAAAAGGGCATATGAGTGCAAGACATAGGTGATCACCCCACTTACTAAAGCCAAAAGTAATCTTCTTTACTTGAGGACTTTTATTTTGTTGAGCAATCAGATGAATAGGAATGCAGGTCTGTGGCAGAGGTAATGGCTCCCATAACAGAGCTGAGTACCAGTAGGAGTTGGGGGAGACACCCCCAGGGAGGAAAGGAAATAAACCACCAGCATCCGTGTGAAGGAAAAGGGAGTTCATAGAGCTGAAATTTCTGATGCACACTTTGAATACTTAACTGTAGGCTGTGTGATATAACCCTCTTCCACGTCTCCCCTACAAAATCTTCAGTGAAGTCCACAGTGCTCTCCTGGGCTTTTGGTGCTAACGGATTATTTGCTGTGGTCTATGTCAAGGATGACACAGATAGAAACATAGTGCTTGGCATGGACTGGTAACAGACTGTGTGCAGAGACACCCAGATTGAGATGGAGATGATGGTTTTTCGTTTGGTCCCCCACACTGTCTGCATTGCTTGGGCAGAAACAGAATTATCCGTATGCTTCTGCAGCTGAAGGGGAAACACCACAGTTGTTAGAGAGGCAATGTGACTTGCCACAGTCAATAAACAGCAAAAGTAAAATACGGATCCATTGGCTCCGTTTGGCTCCAACGAGACCTTACTCAGGTATTTGCCCAACTGCAGAATGACCTTTTCTCCCCGCGCTGCGTGGTCTGTGTACCCTCCTCTCACCTTCTAAACATGCAGCCTTCTTCCGAGAGAGTTCAACCTCCTTAATGAGTTCAAGTGTCACCCCATACAGGTGACAGTTCCCCTGCCCCCAACACCATCCCCTTCCCCATAGACCTGCAGTCTCAGCCTTGACCTCTCCTTTAAACTTTGAACACTTGTCCCTCCATCCTGTCATCTCAAGCTCAGTATGTCGTCTTTCCCTCTTTCTGTATTTCCTTGGGGTTGAGGTCATGTCCCTAGGTTCCCAGGCTGAAATTAGGGCCAAAGGAAAGGCAGTCTAACCTGGAAGCCATCAAAGTCCCATGGATGCTACCTTCAGGGTATCCCTTGAGTTTTCTCTTTCCCTTTATTTATTTTTTTTTTAATGTTTAGTTACTTTTCAGAGAGAGATACAGAGAGAGAGCACGGGCAGGGAAGAGACAGAAAGAGACAGAGACACAGAATCCGAAGCAGGCTGAGCTGTCAGCACAGAGCCTGACCCGGGGCTCAAACTCAGAAATGGTGAGGTCATGACCTGAGCCACCCAGGCACCCCTCTCTTTCTCTTTAAATCTCGTTTCTGTCTCACTTAATCAAGGCCCTCATTTCATGCTGTGATTATTTTAGTATTCAACACAAATTGATTTTAATATATTGATGCAACATGGGGTTATGGCCTCAAAACAATAAGCCTATGGCCCATAGAGGACTTTTCACCCCCAATGTTTAAATGTTTCTTTTCTTGCTATTCCTAAATGGGACAGTGAGGCAGAAACACTTTGATCCACATAATCTTTTTCCCCTTGAATCTGCAGGATAGACTCGGAGACAGCAAGCCACAACCACTGCAAAGGCCTGCCTTCTGGGGCTGTGGAGCGTTTTCACCCAGATCGGAGGTCACAGGTGCATCCAGGGGACAATGCTAACTCTCTGACTGCCTACCTGCCCCGCAGCCTCTGAAGAGCGTGCGTAATCATCTCCTCAAGTTGCTAAATGGTTCGAGGCTCCCCTGGGTTTTCCCCTTTCCGTTATATCCTACCATCAGTTCTAGAATCATCATCAAATATATATACATATATATGTTCACTGTGCGGCTCAGAACAACAAAAGTGCCCCCACGTGATCTCAGAACAATGTCCCGACTCCTTCACTGGGCCTTGGCAGCCCTTCACAAGTGAGCCCAGTCAGGGTACCTGAGGGGCTCAGCCGGTTAGGTGCCCCACTTCGGCTCAGGTCACAATCTCACAGTTCGTGAGTTTGAGACCCACATCGGGCTCTGTGTTCACAGCTCAGAGCCTGGAGCCTCCTTCAGATTCTGTGTCTCCCTCTCTCTCTATAACCCTCCCCCACTCACACGCTGTCTCTGGCTCTCAAAAATGAATAAATGTTAAAAAAAATTAAATAATATGAATATGAACAACATAAACCCCTCAGGCTGGTAGAGAAAATCAAACATAATATAATATACAAAACTCCAAGATGAACGGGAGAGTACTACAAAAAGATCGTTATTATCTCTGTAGCTCCCTCCCCGGCTTCCTTCCAGATCTCTCCAAAGCAGTATTGCTATCACCCATAACAATTCTGCTCAGAGTTTGCATATACAACTTGCGTTAGGGGGTTCAAATGCCTTGTACATACATCTAATCCATGGCCCATCCCAGTCATTTGGGCACTTAGCTGAACCTTGGGAAAGGGGCTGCCCCTTTCCCATCCAGGGGCTCTGTCCCCACGTCTTTTATCAGCTCCTTTGAGGCAGTGACCCTGTTTCACATCCCCATGCTCTATATACTCCACTGCAAGCACAGAGCCTCGTACCGAGCAGGCACCCAGAACTGATGTGCTTGCAGAACAAAAGGTTACAGGCACAGTCTCTCGAGCCAGAGTAGGTTTGAATCCCGTGTCCACCACTCCCTTGTCATGTGGCCTTGGGCAGGTCACTTCGACTGTCCGTGGCCAATTTCCTTGCCTGTAAAAAGGTCGCTAGAAAGATGTTAGCACTCACCTCACAGACAGAACTATCACAAAGCTTCTGCGAACCAATATGGATAAAGCCTGGCATGTGGTGAGTTCTTAATAAATGTAAACCATGGCTATTAAGTGAAACTGAGCCTGATTCCATCTTCTTCCCTACCACACCACAGATTCCCCATGAATACCCTGGATTCCTTTATTTGCTGGAACACGTACTGACCATCTGCTACACAGAGAAGGCTGTCCCTTGAATAATAGCAGCTGTGTTTATGCCTGATGGCTCTCTCTTGCTTTCTCCTGGGCCAAATGCTGCTAAGGAACAGAGACAACCTGATGTGGACTCCAGCCTTCTAGCTCCCTTCCTGTTTTCTGGAACAGGGACTACGTTGCACCATCAGATCCACAGGTATGCAAGTTACTCCTGTTTCTTTACCGAAAAGATGGCTCCGACCCCTTAACGTGCTCTTATTTTCGGTGAATCTCTGATGGCCGGCAACAGCGTTTGCCATGTTTCCAGTTAGCTACCGGACCATTTATTTTACAGCTTCCCTCAGGAGCAGTATTCCGTCAAATCTACTTTGGAAAACGCCACACGGGAGTCTTATTCCTATCTATTCCTTCTATACGCGAGGTATCATCTTGACTCACGCCAACCGTCCCGTGGCAGTGCCCCACCTGCACGAGACTGTCCACGGGAGGGCTGAACGAGACTCCTGCTTCACCAAACATTGATCATCTACGACTTGAACAAGTCACTCTGTATTGCCATCGATGGCTCTAATTTCCTCAATATTCCAAACATCACTTATGTTCTAGCAACAAACAAACAAGCAAAAACAACAACCAAAAAAACCCATAAGAGTTGTCACAAAGACTATGTATTTTCATTAGAACTCCAGAATGTCACCTGGAACTCACTGACTCTTAACTTCAGCGCATTTCAAACTTTGTAATCTGCTTCCTGGTCTGTGGCAGATTAGAAAAAGAAAGCTCGGCCTGGTAGAGACAAGCATACCAACCACAAAAAAAAAAAAAAATTCACGCCCGAGAGGCTGGCCATGAAGGTGAAGCTGTACAAACTAAAAAGCAAACACAAAAATGTTTAACAATCTAGGAACAGTCACCACTAAGAAAATAATATCTCTGATGACTGCTTTCCATCCCCCTCCCAGACGCCTGGGTGAGCAAGAAAAAGTTAGATTCTCTTCCAGATACAGATTAAATAACATGAGATAATATGAAATTTTAGAAAGCTGTCCTTCGTCACGATTTTTAAACAATAAATAACTAAATAACACTGGAGGTGTTCAGTGGTTGATCTTAAATTTTCCAGAAACTTCTGAGAAGAGGCGCACACCATCCCATTTCAACACTAGCCAGTTGAGATGGAGTTACCATCCATGCTATTGATCCCCCATTGCCTGACAATTCATCCTGTGGTTCTGCCCTTCACTGACCTTCTTAGCACACTCTGCCCCAGTGCACTCAGCCCCTAGGACTCTCTAAGTCTCAAAGATCTGTGTCCAACGTCAAAATCCCTACGCAGCTGACTTGGCATTATGCAGCCTCCGCTGGTCATTTATCCAAGTAATTTAACAAGAGTGAGAGATCAGGGCTACGACGCATTTACATCTCACAAGTAAATGGTGATCCCCCAAATATAGCCAAGTTGGAGTGCTGGGCTGGCAGATTTGGGAGTATAAAGAGAGCTGGGGGCCGCACTCTCAAAACCGCTTCGCCGAAGCATCTCAAGGTAAGTGCTCACAAGTGCCCACTTGTTTGCTCCATGTAACTGTGATTAAACCTCATCGGGTTACAGGTCAAGGAGGAATGGCCACACGGTAGTCTTTGTTGAGGACCTACTAAGTGTAAGGTCCACTTACCTACTAAGTGTAAGGGCAAGAGAGTGACAATACAGGAAGACAGACAATTGCCTTTCAAAAAGCTCTTACAAAGAGTAAAAAGGCAGGACTATAAGCAATTATGAGACCAAAAAATACGTATAACCTGCAGAATAAAACCAAATGTGACATATCATTCCACCTCTCTCCTAATTGTTTAGTTAAGTGTTTCACCATGCAGTTAGCAAACAAACGTGTTTAATTTGTGATATCTCTGCTGTGATTGCCTTGAACTATTATTTGAAATGTTCATGGTTATGTAACACTTTTTTCCCATGTCAGGATTTCTGGGAGATGATTGCAGGAAAACCTCTCCCAGGCATTCTATTCATTCCCAGATGCGCTGTGGTCTGGGCATGATTAGCTGGCTCCAGACTGGTCTTGTATAACATGCCTTGTGGTCAGTGGGCTGTCTCGTAGCAGTCCCATCCCTCAGAGGGGCCCCAAGCTTGGGAGACAAATGATACTTTGATTTCAGGCCACCATCTCCACTTTAGTACTTTCTTTCATACATTCACAGGGCTAAGAGGAATCCTGGAGATTATTCTGGTCCATCTGTCTCATTTAATAGAAGGAAGCCAAAGTTCAAAGACATTACAAGAGCTTCTTGACAGAGACAGTGTTAGAAAACAGATTCTGCCTCCACATCTTACTTCTTCTAAACTCAGGACTCAGAAAATAATATGTAATCACTTGATTTTTTCCTGAAAGTGTTGGTAAGGATTTTAGGGGATAGCTGGAGATGATCAGAGGCTCATAAGAGAAAGCGATAGAAAGGGCAACAAAAATAGTAAGCCAAGTGTTGAAAAGTCTCTTCCTGCCCAAATGGTATCTCATGACAGGTTCGCCTGGTTCCACAGAAGTACTGCAGAGTAAATGGGAAGTGTGTTTAAATTAAATTTGATGTCAAAACTGTTCAGACTCTCATGGCCCCTGGAGATCATCATGTAGATTATAAACTCCCAGACTGGAGATGCTTTAGTCCTAGATGAATTTTCAGCTGCCCTCCCTAACCTTCATCTTCTCCAGGAGAATTTAGAATATTTAAGGGAGTGCTTTTCCTACACGCCTGAAAGAGGCTTTGCCTACAATTCACCCCTTTCCCTTATTTCCGAAGGAACTCAGCTACTGGCTTTAAGAATCCATGTTACAAATTGGATCATTTCCTCTCCTTTCTTTCTTTGATTCCTGACTACTCACGGCCCCCCCACTCTTAGCCAGAAACATCATCTCCCTAAATCCTCATAGCATTTCATTAGGCTCTTTCAGAATTTATGTTACTTTTCCTTGGTCGGAGATGTATTTGAGTGCTTCTCTTTAACTCTTACTAAATTTTGCATTCGTGTAGGGCAGAGACCATCTATATTCTTCTTTGCACCTTGTCTTAAAGAGCTGACATGGTACTTTGCACACACAGAAGATACTTTTTTTTTTTTTCTGAGATACAGACAGCGTGAGCAGGGAAGGGTCAGAGAGAGAGGGAGACACAGAATCTGAAACAGGCTCCAGGCTCTGAGCTGTCAGCACAGAGCCCGATGCAGGGCTCGAACCCACGAACCGTGAGATCATGACCTGAGCTGAAGTCAGACGCTTAACCGACTGAGCCACCCAGGCACCCCCACAGAAGATACTTTTTAAAAAGATGTTAATCGTATATTGTAATTAACCAATTATTTAAAGAATAATAATAATAAACCAAAGTGGGCAAGTGGCATATTTAATTCCATCTCACATCTACTATGTAGAACCTGTTTAGAAGCAGAACTTGCAGCAAACAGTTTCTATATTTATTTCAACTCCTTATAGTTCACTTGTTCTTTGTTTTTGTTTGGTTTTGGTTTCTGAAATAACCCCCAAGAAGACACGTTGTTTCTGAAGGATACCAGCCATCACTTTGGAAACCAAGAAGGTAAGAGTTCATTTCAACCAGATTGGGAATGCAATTATTGAAATTAGCAAACTTTGTTTTACATATTTTCATTCTGACTGCACTCCTAAGCTGAAAGTGAGGAAATTGAAACCAATGGCTTAAGTATCCCTAATGGCAGATTTCAAAATATGCAGGTTTTACCAAAGGAAGACTCGTTCCC